TTTTAACAAAAGTGGAGCAGCAAAAATGAATTGTCTGATTCTCTTTCAACAGATTCCTCAGTCATATGCGGACATGGAACACATGCAATGGAAAAGATTTTGGCCTACAGGGTTTCTGTTTCTAGTTTGTATACTATTGACCAATCACGTTCGAGCAGGTGAACAGTCTGTGTAAGGGGCCACAGTGGCCGAACGCTTTGGACGAAATGCAATCTCGTTAACCCCACTGGCTACCATATGGCGATGACTTAGCTTTCTATTGCTTTAAAATGAGCTCGTTAACTGACTTGTGAAACAATACAGTCGAACAAGCTCAACAGTACATGCTCTGTTTATGGTTTGTGCTTTTATTACAAAAATGTATAAAAGAAGTCAATCTAGTAAATCTACCTTCTAAAAAAAGGGAACATTTTGATTTAATTTGCAAAGAAGAGGAGCAAGCATATTAATATTATTATTCAAACAACAAGAGCAAAAGCAAAATAGATACTTAAGATGTTCTGCCTTTAACGCATCTCCCCTTGAAACCAGTGCTGATAATAATCTTAAATCCTAACACACACACACACACACAGTGTGACTTTACCGGATTTCAGAAGGACACAGCTCATGACTTCATGAACTTCCTGTTCTGTGCAACACAGCGCTCCAGATGCCTGACATGCCAAACTTAACCCCCGAGGTCAAATCCACACAGGTGCGCCCACTAACCCACAGAGATAACAAGTATGGAGACACAGATACATTTACACAACCTGTAAGCTTCTCCAACAACAACACTTTCTTTGTTGTGGAGAGAACGAACTGGGATGATGAAATCCCAGCGGCTGCTGTGGTACACCCGGCATCAGCGGCGGATTCTCCACTTGGTGATGTTAGGATGATACGTTTAGGCGATGGGTCACACCTTTCACTCCTGCAGCAGAATTACACTCAAAGAGACTTGTGGGAAAGTAATGACACCATGAGGAAATCGAAAAAGCTGGGCGTTTTTGGAAGGTGTAATTAGGTAACAGGGGAGAAGAGTGAAAAAAGGTGCCGGAACATAAGTGCAGTTCAGTCGGCCGGCTCAGGTGGAGCAGATTTATTTATGTGAATGCAGAGTCCATCCAGGCTCTGACCTCATCAGGGCCTGCGATGCCTATAGCTCCCCACAGAGGAAACTGTAATGAACTCCTGCCGCCCAAAAAAAAAAAAAAAGCAGCATGACATGGCAGCTCACTTGCATTCATATTAAAAATCATTCTTAATTGCAGCAGACAGTCTAAAAACACCACATAGCATTAATAATCAGCAGTAGGTGAACACCACCATTGAATCAGAGTGTAGCAGCAGCACAAGATGTTTATGATGAGGATGACAAACAACCCGTTACATTAGAGCTGAGCTATTTCAAATGTTTCAAAATGATTGTACAGTTGAATCAACTAAAACATGAACATTGTAACCTTTGTGATAAGTATTTGCAGGACTGTTGTATCATGCTGCATTAGTTTTACCTAGATATTCCTTATTGGCAACTACATGTACACCCCCTGCACAGGGTTTACAGTGAGCCAACAGTTAACCTACAAAACAATTCTAACTTTCTTCAGAAGGTAATAATGTATCCAATTCAGCCCAAAACACACACTCCACTCCACTGTCACTCCAACAACAGCAATAGTGATGCTCGAACATGAGTCGTTTTTGACCACAATGTAAATCAACAGCAAGGCACCATAATGCACAATTAACACTTAAAGCAAATATTGCACATGGAAGACAGCAGCAGAGCAGAAAACGTGCAAACAGCTAGCAACCTGCAAGACAGCGAGCACAAGCAGAAACGACTAGCAGCATCAGCTACCCCACTGCTTAATGATGCACATACAAGCCAACTGCACAGAGACACCAAGTCACAACATGGACGGAAGCACGCGCAGCAAGGACTTACTTGGTGACGTGAGAAGGGTTTCAGTGTGGTTTCAAAGCAGGACGGTGAACTCCAGCTTGCAGCGCGTGTACAGGCCGCAGCTGGTCGTCTGAGTTTGGAAAGACACCAAGAGCAACGACTGATAGCGCCCAAAACACACATGTTTCGTTTATTTCCTCCGCAAAGTCATTCTGACGCGACGTTAGCAGCGTTTTTCGCAGGCGAGCTTGCACAATGAGCAGCAGCGTTAACAGCTAAAGTCTGCAGACATGTTTCAGCGGAGTTATCTTCAAGAGCATCTCTGCGGACCAAACAGAGGGCGAGGGCACTGCCAGTTTAAATAGACCGCCATGCTGCGGAAGGGTGCGTTAATTACGAGCTGCTGCAGGTGGAGAATGTTCACACTAAACCACTTTAGCATGGGGCCATGCTAATCTTCTCTGTATCGATTCCAATTTATTAGATGTGCTGCCTTAGCAAGCACCACTTTACCACGGCCTTGCATTGCTGTTAGTGGTGTTTGGGGGTTATTTTGTATTTATGTGGACGTGCCACTAACAACATAACAGTAAAGATTCAAAGAATAAAGTAAAAAAAAAAAGAATATTTGATTATATAGGGTGGGTTCAGGATTCATGATTTCCTGACAGGCCTAGAACCAAATTTGTTCAAATGCTTCTGAAAGGTTTTGTAGATAACTATTTACAAGTTAAAGAACTGAAACCAAACAGGTTTCCCTTTTCCCTCATTCTGGTTCTTCAGGTTTATGTGGGACAGATTGCCTCAGAGGGACTCTTACTTGCTGGAGACGTTTTAAAGCAAGACACCATTATCAACCATTTCAGTCTATTCAATATGTCTGTTACTGCCTAATTGTGAAGGTATAGGCTACACTTTTTTATATAACATTTCAATTAACTGACTCTACTAACTCTTTTAACAATTGATAATATCACAAAACCAATTATGTATTTTTATAGATTCCTATAAATTATGAAAACTGGCCAATAAATAAATCAGCTACCTTTTTTACTGACTTGCCATATTTTCCACATGCATGTGAGCAATTACAATTAGGCTAAATAACAATTAGATAATATAGCAGATTCTGAAAACATATAATGATTCAAAATGTTTACATCTTCAATCATATGTGAACCACCAACCTCAACATTACAGCACTACACAGCCCATTCCCTATTTTATTGAATTAATTTGTAACATATTACAGAAATGCTGCATCAAACATGTTTAAAGTCTCCCGGTTTCTTTCCTCAGTATCTGAAAACACTCATTTGCCGGTTAACTTCCCCTGAACACTTGCCAACCAGTCTCTCTTTGATTTTCAACCAATGTCCAATGATGAAATAAATGTGTGTTCAGTGAACACACATGCGCCGATGCGACAAGATTTTGGGTTCCATTACATCAAAAAAAAAAAGGCAAAACAGGTAATGCTTGTATACCGGCAACAGGTTTACTGGCATTGGTCCTGATGCATTTTTCTGCAATGTTAATTAATGTATTTGACACTTTGTTGTATAGTCTTCCTACTGCAAATAGACTGTGGGTGTTGTGGTGATTTGGTGATCCACTTTCAGATGTAAGTGCAAAGGTGATTTGTTGCTGAGCTGATGCTCTGCTCTGAGGAGCTAACAAAGAACACGGTTGACCGGTTGAACTGGAAACTTTGACTCGCCGAGTTTTTCCTGAGAGAAAACATGTCAAAAGCTTGCCTCAGTATTGTGGTTCTCACATACTTGCCAAAATTCACAAGTTCTTATAGATGTCAACTTTCAATGTGGTCAAATATTTTATCAGATGATTTGTACAATGGTTATGCTGATGATGAGGTTACCTATCCGAAGGGAATGTCACAAGAATGTTTCTCCATGTTTGAATCTGTGGATTTTTGACCCAGTGTTTGTGTATGAGATCGTTGGTGAATGTGCTTAAAACCAAGTCAAGCTGCAATATCATCAGAAGATATCATCAACCCACCATCCAAAGGTAAGTCTGCCAGAGGTCAGTCTGCATATCAGTGGGGAAATTGTGCAACATGCAAACAAATCTGGAAAAACCATCATAGTGTTGGCTACAAGTATGGATGTGTATGTTCGCCTGCAGCCCTGTAGTCAGTTTCTGTGTGAAAGTTCAATCTGGCTGTGCCAAAAGGGCTCACCACACCTATTTGTCTCGAAACAGCTCCTGTAGTGGTTGATAAAGCAGTGATTACAACACTCATTATAAAGATTGAGAATAAGTTAATGATTGTGCAACAAAGTGGCAAAGCTCGTAATTCAAAACTGACTTATACTGTAAACCTCTCATCTTTTTCTGAAAAACTCTATTTTGGAGGCATTAATGGGTTGAACAAATCATGAAAGAATGCTGCTATATGAATGCTTCTGTTTTAATAATAATCAATGCCATGATATCCAATAAAAAAAGATCAGACAGATCCTTTTTCCTGCATAAGTACTTTGGATACTTAAAGTACATTTTGCATTTGAACCAGGACTTTTAAAGGAGTCGGCTACTCTAAAGGATCTGAACACTTCTTCACCACTGCTATATTGAAATAGAATTATTTTTACAGATTTAAATAGAGCTGACAATAATCAGTTAGTTGAGTAAGAGGGTATTGGAAAATCAAAATGTGAATATTTTTTTGGTTTTCTAATGTGTCAAATTGGGAGTTAAGAAGAAAAAGATCGATTTTCTTCACAACTGTCTGACATTTTATAGGTTTTTAAGATTAATAGATTATTTAAGGGGAAACAATCATTAGTTACAGGCAGCCTTAGTTTGATTTCCTGATTGCTTTGAACGGAAATTATGTGAACTGAATGATATCATTTTATAGTCAGATTATCTACTGATAACTTTGTCTTTGCATTTCTACATATCATTCGTCGGTATTCATTTTTCAACTTGAAGTGACTTGAATACTGTGAGTCACTTGAACAGAATTTCAAAAGCACTATGATGACAGAGGAGAACAAATATGGGGCGGCGTTAGGACCTTGAGTCCACCTTCCAGAGGAAGAGGGCGTAGGCTCCCTTTTAGCCAGTAGAGGAGGAAGGTGCCGCGACTGGCTAGGCTGCTCGCGCACAACACTGAGGTTCAGACAGCAGCAGCGCGAGCGATGCGAGACAAGGGCTGCGTGGAAACAGACTACAGCTAAAAAACAGAACCCCCACCCCTCGCCCGGAGTTCCGTCTTGTTTTCAGCGGCGTGGAAAGAAACACAACGCTGCCAGCATGTCGGTGCTCGCTCTGCAAGAGTACGAGTTCGAGAGACAGTTCAACGAGGACGAAGCCATCCGATGGATGCAGGAGAACTGGTAAGACTGCACCGCGATGTAATGTTATAGCGCCTCGTTTTGGTTTTTTAAAATCCCACATTTCTGCAAATTCAGCGCGTGCGTGTGTACGAGCAGAATGTGCATTGAAAGGCTGTAACCGTGCACATGTATCAGGGATTAAAAGAACCTCGCCGCGTCCCTATTATATCGGGCTCTCTCTCTCTCTCTCTCTCTCTCTCTCTCTGTCTCTCTCTGTCATCATCCGCAAATTGCTGCTTGTGCCTCGTGAAATGGACAAATTCACGCAGGAGGGCCTTAAGCCGCGTGCGAGTGCGATGCTCTTGCCACATCACGCGTCAAGCCTGTCCGAACTAATTGGATGCTTAAATGGCACACTCGTCTGTTTGCATTGTGCGTCTTTTTAACGGTCGAGCATTTGTCCTTGATTTCCCGTGATTTATTCTCCGGGCCACGAGTTACCGCGATACTATTGTAAAGGCCATGCATGGCTCCAGCTGCCTCATCCAGTTAGACACACCAGTCCCTCATTCATCCAATGGTTCTTATTTTCAGAAAGAAAGGCTACTGTACAGATGTCACAGAAAAATTAAAAGTTACTGCATGTTATTTTGAGGTCCCTCAGAACTATTCTGAGCAATTTAAGTTCTAATCTCTGCATGAATATGTTATGGACTGAGCCATCTGTTAGACTACATATAAATATGTCTGGATAAAAGAGAATAATGGCCATGACAAGCTCCCAGAGTCCAATGTAAAGTCCTCAAACAGCTAGTTTTCTCCAAAACCTAAAGATATTCTATTTATAATGAAACAAAGAAAAACTGAAGCAACAAAACAATCATAAAATGAATAACTTATCACTGATTCATTACTAAATGAGCTCCAACAGAGTAGCTTATTTCATGAAACCTTGTAATGAAAGAGGACTGTGACTTAAAATTAAAACTATTTCTTGTACAGGGTCATGTTTGCCCCGGGCAGCGTCTGCCAGCCAACTTTACCCTGGACTGATATTTCACTGTGGCTAACTGGAATTAAGTAAACATGGCTTTGAGATTTGTGCACATCGATGGATTTAGGTCATGTGCTGGTCCATCCAACCATCGTCCGCATGAACTCACTGAAGGGTCATTATTGTCCGTGCCAGTTTGAGCCGAGAAGTGGTTCTAAGCCAGACCAAAGTGAGTCATGCGTTAAGTTTGCATAGGCTTCATTAAGCATTCAGTGGCACTGGGTTCGTGGAGAATGGTGAGCAGGAGCCATTCATCTGGCTTCTTCTGTCATTCTGCTTGAACTGCCTGTAGGAAGAGCCACATAGACATTCAACATTTAAATACATTTTGATTAAGTAGAGCAAGTCTTACAGCAGTTTTGTTCTTTTTCATTGAAGTGAAATCTGTGTTGGTGTGTATGTGTGTGAGAGAGAGAGAGAGAGAGAGAGAACACATGGGAGCAGTATGTAGGAGCTGTCCATACCCTGGTACTGACAACCGACCTATCACGTTAATCTTCTGATGTCGACTGACAGAGAATTAGCCAATGGCGTTGCAGCTGATCTGTGCTGACTTCTCTGCGCTGCTCCTGTAGTGGAGGATGTCAGGCTGGGCCGGTGCACATGGCCGATGGAGGCGGCAACCGCAGGAAATGGGATTTGATGGCTTGTTTGTTTTCATTCAAAATGTTCAAGGAGCGAGCGAGTAAATGTGGCATGTTTTCATGACTTCAGGGTGAGATGGAGAGAGAAAAGAGTAAGCTAGGTTGAAGGCAAGCGTCGTGTAAAATAGACAAAAAGGAAGCTGTTTATACGACGGTTAGTTCACTTGCAAACCAACCGCTATGCTTTTTCACCATGCAGTCACTTAAATCAGACTTCCACACCACAAATCAATGAATTAATTTAGCTTGGGGTGAGGCTCCTTCATCAAACATCTACTATCATCTGGAAATAACGTCAACAAAGCCAAGTGCAAATTCCAATTGTATTAGTTTGTGGCTGACAAAGGGTTGCGCAGCACGAGGGCCGTGTGTTCATATGTAATTGTTTCAGATTTATGTCCAAGCATTCCAGTTCTGGCTCAACGTTTGTTATATTATTTGAATATGAAAAGCAAAATAAATATATACACCTATTTTCAGCAGATTTAGGCTGGAAAAAACAGTCTTTTGTAATAAATGGCAACATATATATTTATTTGATATATTTTATTGATGGTGCCAATTGAGTGTTAACTCCTGTCCATCCCGTTTGCGCACATTTGCACTGATGTGGGTCAAAGTTCAGTAGGTCTGAACTACTGTTGCAATACAATCAGGTGTGTTACCTGTCTTGATAAATGATGATGATAAATCATTTATTTGTGCACTTAAAATAGTGATTAGATCAGCAAATATTCAGATACACTAGACTGTGTCTATTCAGGACTAGTGATGTCGTGGTGATGACTAGTTTCTGACCAGCAGTTTTAACATAATGTGACAGTTTGGACTCAATATGATTTCAGTGCGATGCATTCTGTTGTACATGCTCATCTCAGTGTTGATGAAACGGTTGTTCAGCCCTGGTGATGACACAAGACAACCAGTGGCTGATTTGGGTAGATTATCCATTTTAGCATTAGCATCAGAGCCAGAAGGGCAGGTAGCTGAAATAAGCTGCAGACTACAACAATTACTACGCTCAAGCTGATATCGATGTCTTTCATATTTATAATTTGAGCTGTTAAATGAGCCAGCAATCATGTTGTCCTTTGTTTGGAAGAAATCCATATTATTGTGTTGATGAATCAAACTTCTTAACTCTAGCCTGAGGTGCTGTCACTTTTGTTTTTTGTCCTTAGCTAAGCTAAGTAGCACATGCTTTTAGAAACAGAGATGGTGAGACATCTTAAGACACTGTATCTATATACTGTGCATCATTGTTCTGCAGGGATGAATGGAGACTGGTACACTGATCTGATGTGTTCTCTTGATACTGGCAGCAGACAGCTCAGCATTGTGAAGTTAGCATGATTAAGCAGCCAGTTGTCAGAGGAAGAGGAAGGAGCAGACATGGACCTAGATGCTGCTGTTTTTAGCGACAACATGACCGCCATCTTCTTTCCGTCCTATAACCAACAGTGTAAAAGTACCACAAACACACGAGAGATGGTGTAGGAGCTCTATGTTATTTTCACTGCATGAACGACGTGGTAGAGGTGACACGGTTTGTCAAACTTGACGTTGCTCGTGAAAATATGGGGCAGCCAACTCAAATTCATCAGCAATGCTAATAAACTTGCTGGAAGATCTGATTGCGTAGACCCAATAACGCGGTCGCCTCGGCAAAGATATTGCTACGTCAATGCTTTCTTGTTATTAGGAGTGTCAGCGGCTTCACTTAGCACCTGGGACCTGAAGAAGTGCAAAGGGAAGTCGGGTACATTTGGGATGGAACCTGGCGTGTCAGCTGGGTGATATCTACTTGCTCCTCACGCTTTACAAAAAAACAATATCCCAAAATCCTTTGTCATTTCGCTTGCACACGTTCTGTCCAAGTCCACCGGATTGCATGCATTTACTTGTGTTTAACTTCCACACATTGTGCTTCATTAGTAGGATCTGAATTTCCATGTGTGATTTTCTGTACTATAGTTTTATAGCTCTCACCATTTTTCTAAATACAGGGTGTTAAATATCTAAAAGAAAAGCACCTAACATGTAAATGTTTCTCTGTCATTTTTCAAGTTGTACTGGTGACAAATATCACTTTGGCAGTGCTCCGAGCCCACTTCCTTGATAATATTTGGACTGCAGCCATTAGAGCTCAAACATCTGGCATCAGAAGCTCAGCGGCTTGACTGCGTAGTATTCATAGCAGATCATTTAACAGATTGATTGCTCACTGTTTGGCGTGGTGATACAAATGGGACAATAATCCAATGAAAATGATCCAATATCAGACTCTTATGTTATATACTATTGAGGATCATGTATGGCAATCAGAGTGATTGCATTTTGTATTTTTCTCTTATTTGTTGTGATTCTGTGTGGTGGCAAAATCTGCTGCAGTTTAAAAGCGGCCTGTTATGTATTGAGATTGCTTTGCAGTGTGGCATAAGCATCCAAAAGACATCTTTAATCTGCTGACTCACTGTGTGCTCCCACAGACGTCTTCATTTTTTATTACCGTGCAGGTTGCTTGGAGTCTGCGTTCTCTGCGTTTGAAAAGGCTCTAAGGGTAGATAGCATCTCCATGGATCTCCGTACTTTTGATGGATCTCCGGTGGTTTAGTCCTGGACACATAAGAAGGGATGCAGAGCCTCAGAGTGCTGCAGTGAGAATGAACAATGAGATCTTTCTCGTGCTCCGTTCTGTGTATTCTGTCCGTATGACTCAGCGGAGGAATGTGGCAATGTTGGTCAGAAGCATCGCAGCTCATCTTGGAAGTTCAGGTTCCGATGGCACTTGATGAGTTGAGAGAGATACGTCTCTTCCTTTACAAGTCTCATGTTACTTATTGAGTCTAAGATTAGTCCGGCCTATTGTTCCAGAGCATTTGAGCCCGGCTGCTGGATTGATCGGACCAGTAGATATAAACCCGTCTTGAATCTGGCATCAGGGTATCATTTCAGCAGGCATGACGTAGCTTGTTTCCTTCCTTCTCTTGTTCAATATTTAGTTGAATATATTTTTTGCAGAAGATGTAGCAGAGCTTTTTTTATAGTTAATTAGAAGCCAATTAAAAATGTTTGTTGTTATTTGTCAGGTGTCAAACTGGGGAAGCAAGAATTGGGTCATATTTCATATCCACAGTAACCTGATATCTGTTTGTTTTATGTTATTTCCTATTTCCTGAATCTAATGCAAAGCTTACAAAACAAATTACCAAGAGATTTTTTTACTCTGCTAAATCAAATGAAAACAAACAACATTCATTATTTTGCTAAATGAAGAAGAGGAATGATTATTTCCCAGTGTCTGTATGTTCATACAGTTACATTGTCAAGGTCTTGTTTCTGCATTCTGCTGCCATTTTAAT